CTGAGGCTCAGAGAGGGGGGTCGACGCGTTCCTAAGGCTGGGACCCAGGTCTGCTGACACCCTACCTAATGCTCTTTCCTCCACACATACCAAGGCTGTCCCAACAATCTTGTGAAAGAAAAAAAAGTGAGATTTCCTGATCCAATGCTGGGAACTATTATGTAATCTAGCTGGAATTTGACCTATATCCTCCCAGTGAAACTGAAATGGAGATGGGAGGGAAATAAATGGAGACACCAATCCGTTGTGAAGGCAAAGTTAACAGATGTTTATTGACCATTATTTATGTGAAGGGGCCTATGGGTTGCTCCCTACCTTTCTCTGGGCCCATTTCTATTTCCTCCCGGAGCCTCTTTCTGCAGCAGCCAAACCAGGCCAGCACCTTGGCTCCCCCTGTGTGCCTCTTGATCTTTACTAACCCCTCACCTCCAGTCCTTCACAGAGGAATGATTTAAATTCAGTCATGTGACTTTAGAGCTCTCAAGCTTTCCAGGGGCATGAGGAACCAGAGCAAGACAGGGCTGCCAAAACAGGGCCTGCTAGCCTCTGCCAAAATCACATCAGTGGCATAATGGACTTGCTATTTGAAGCTGGGAGTGGGAGGGAGAGTGGGAATGTGGGAGATGACTGAACATTGGAAGAATCTGAGAGGCTTCCTGGAAGAAGCGGCTCTTAATCCCAGGCTTCCCCAGGAGTGCCTATTTATGGGACGGCCAGTTCTTCTAGGTGTTATTGTGAGAACTCTGTAGACAGTTTGTGCTTAATATGTGTTCTGAGGTTGTTAATAATATTGATTAAAATGTGTGGGATAATCCATTCAATGGGCCCCCTGACTCCCCCTCAACCAAAGAATAGTTCATTCTTCTGAAACTAACCACTTGTTTTTTCCCTCTTTCTAAGAGGAGGGTATATGTACTCAGCTGAGGTTCCTTCTGGAAGTGTGTATGCAGGATAGTGTAGATGAGGCTAACTTCAGAAGGAAGGTGTGAGAAATAAAGCACTGATTTCCATTTGGGTTCTGTGGAAATATTTAGGAAGCCTGCTTAGTGGTGTTTTCATGATTAAAAATGACCCAGTGTGTTCGTTTGACCGTAACACGAACTACAGCAGTCCTGACAGATGCTTTCACCCATATCCATATGTCTCATTTATATCTTAATCCACAGCCTGCTGGGAAATAGCCTGGGAAGACTAGTGCTTTGGGGACCGCTGTCAGTAGGTTTCAGCCTATTTTTCAGCCTGTGGGATTCACACATCCCCCGCACAAGGAGCTCGGGTTTGGCCCTGGGCCTGTGGAATTGCTGTAGGGCCTACTACAGCAGGGAAAAGAAAATTCAAAATGTGAAATGACTTTGTGCAAATGTGAGTCAGGGATGTGTTCGGTCTGTTTATAGAAGGAGGAAATGATATTTGAAAAAAATGGTTTAGGGAGAAATGCTGTCATATATGCATTTGAGATCTAGTTACCGACAGGCTACAGAGGGCAGCAGACCAGGTACCTTGCGAGGCCCAAACATAAGCCCATTCCCCACTAGCAGGGTGGTGAAAAGAGCATGGGCTTTGGAGTGCAGTGCTTCTAGGCCTGCCCCTGAACGATGACTCCACTCTGGAGCTTCCCTGGTGGCTCAGGGATTAAGCCTTTCCGCTATCATGCTATAGCCACTGGCCTGAGTTCAGTGATCACCCGGCCAGGGAGCTAACCTTCCTGGCTCGGCAGACCTCTCCTGTCTTGCCTACTGCTCCCTCAGCAGTGTGTTTCGGTCGGTCTGCCTGTTCTGCTCCCCACTCTGTCTCTGGTGAATCCTCTCACCCCCCCTCACCTCTAGCCTATATCCCAGTTTTTCTACATAAAAATAAATAATTAAATCTTTAAAAAGAAAAAAAAAAAAAAAGATGATTCCACCCTTAGCCTTTGTTTCCTGGTCTGTAAAATGAGCCTAATAACAGTGGCCTAGAACTTTTATTTCTACTCACAGCAGTTGATACAAAGGATCAGGTACAGTGTTTGATATAAACCATGAGCCCAACATAATCAGTGGCTTCTACTTTGGCGGCACATACTATGTGCAATGTGCTGAGGTTATGTACTTTGCTCACATCATCTCTTGACAATTGTGCCGAGGTCAGTGGCATTATCCCCTGAAATGTCTAGCACTACTGACGTGTAACCGCACAGCTCAGATCCCTGCCTTTTCTTGTCTCCCCCCCTCCTTCATTTGTGGCCAGAGGACAAGAGATATTTCATCTGCTCAGAAGAGAATAAGGACAGGAGGCCAAGGGAACTTACTGACTTGAGGCTGGAAGAGGGATTTGTAGCAAGACATAAGATTTAAGTTTTCATGCAAAGAATAATAAAATTGTCACTAACAAAGAGGCTTGTTTGGGGAGAAACAAACACAGGATGCATGCAGATACTTGAAATCTTTTTAAACCAGAATACTAGCAGTTGGGGAACAGGGGACCGACCACGTTGGTCTATTCCCTGGAGGTGGCACAGAGCACACTGTCATGCACTCACAGACACCCCCGCCCCTTCTAGGCACAACTCTGGGGAAGGCAGAAGGTGCAGCAAGTATAGTGCAGCCACTAGGATGCTTGTGCGACCTCATTTCTTAAAGATGGAAAGGACCTTCATAGAAGACAGACTTCGCAGGCAGCGAACGTCTCTCTAACCACTGAGGCAAAGACTGAAGTCCCATCTGAAGAGGCTGCCAGCCACAAGGCCACAGCCAGCTCAGCAGCTCATCTGCAGGAATCAGCAGCAGCTGGGAAGCACAAGCCTCTGGAGACCTTCCGGCCTAGGAGGGGTTAACCCAGGTCAAGTGCCTCCACATACAGCTCTACCCCCTAGGCAGCCGGCTAGAATGGGGGGTGGGGTGGAAGGATGGAGGGCTGGGGGGATGGAGAGATGGGGGGATATGTCTCTGCAATGACAAGGTTATTTTAATGCCACTGAACACTGAATTCAATTTTTCCTTTGGTCTCTGGGATGCCACAGCCCAGAATTTCAACACGTTTCACTTACACATCTGTGTCTAGTTCCAAATTCTGGGAGTAGTTTCCCCTTCCCCGTCATCTCTGCCAATTCTCTGGGTGTGGTGGAAAGGAAGCACTTTCAGTCTGGCCTCCCAAATTCACGGCAACATGAATGGCAGTAAAATCATTGAATTGTGCATTGTTTAAAAATAGGAAAGTCAGTTTATATTTTTCTTTGCTGGTATTTTGCACCTTACTTTTCAAAACCTGTTGTTAAAGGACACTTGGGGTGTGGGTGGGGGTATATGAAGGGGCATTCTGAGCAGGGATACTCAGAAGCACCAGAGATAGAAAAAAGGGTAATTACTCTGAGAGCTCAAAGTCTTAATTTAGTCACTTTCCTCTACATTTCGCAAATGAGACAACTTGGAGGGGAGTGACTTTACCAAGGTCACATAGCTCAGTAAATGGCAGCAGCGCTGTTTGTTTTCAAAGCCCTATTTTCAAAGTACTGTTATAGAAGCCGACTATATTCCTAGTAGTGTGTGTGTGTGTGCACAGAAATTGACGCGATAATCAACTTGCACGAAGTGTCAATGAGATAACATCTGTAAACTGCCATGCACAGTAGCTAAACAAAACTAAATCGAGATATTCTATCAACTACACAATTTGTTTCCTTTGGATTTGGGTCCAGATATCTTTTAGGTTTACATAGTTGTAATGTTTGTGTCTATACCACATTGTGATCTCCTTTTTTTACTTAATATAGCCGGCATACTTACCATTTTAATGCCTTGAAGAACATTCCATCTGGTTGGTAGACTCTACTTTTTTTTAGACACTCTGCCATCACTGAATATGTGGGCTGCTTCCAGCTTTTCACCATTATAAATAGTGGGGCTTGGAAGAACCTCACAAAGCTTGCCACTCTCCCACCCCCGGGGCTCCTTTTGGACTTGTTTGTTTGGAATGTGTTCTTAAAAATGGAAAGAGACCTAGAAAGAGCTTTCAAACCAGACTGCTCTCCAGAAAGACAGCACCAGTTTGCTAAGTTCTTGTATCACCCAGAGTGGGAGAGGATGTCATTGGTGGGTGGGGCGGGGGTGGGCGGAGGGGGGGGCCTGGTAGAGTTAACTCTTCCCTCTAGGTCTGGAAAAGGAACTTGGGGATTCTTGGTTGCAACTTCCTTCCAGGCCTCCACTCACCCCACCCGCTTATCCTTGGCAGAATTCAGCTTTCCTTGCCTTTTTCTAACTTCCTCTTTCTGCGCTGGATCTTGGAACAGAAGTGACTGTGCTAATACAGAACAGTTTCTGTATTAATATGAGGCAAAAGCTAACAAAAGCAACACATGGAAGCGGGACAATCCACAGAACTTCACCAAATAAAACGATGGCTCTCCATCACGAACAAAAAGCCATTTTGATATCACCCCGGAGTGAACACTTTTCTCCAATTTATGGATGAGAAAACTGAGGCTTGGAAAGATTAACTTGCCCAGAGTCACGCAACTAGGAAGGGTTAGAGCTGTGATTGAACTCAGGTTTGTTTGAGTCGAAGACCTTTTTGTTCTTGATCTTGTCTTGCTTCTCAAATGCTCCTTTATGAACTGGTCACTTCGCTGCCACTGACCCTAATACTGTTTCCAGGATCAAATGAGATAAAAATTTCCAAGTGATTTGTGAAGGGTAAACAAAGCATTGACTAAAATTCATAGGTATTTTGACAACTATCAGTAAAATTGGGTTGAATTTGGTGAGGTGTTACAGGGCAGGGTGAGGGGTACTCTGGGACCCCTACACCTGCATGTCTAAAGGGATTACCTGGTTATAATAGTGGCCCCACAGGACACTACCAGGTCACATGACTTGGTCTAGTACTAGGCTTTCTGGAAAGACTCAGTAGTTTCCATCCTCAGAACAATTTCTGAGAAGTGGGGCCCTCGATGATAGGTACACGAGGATATTTGCAAATACAGGTGTCTCCCACAAGAGAGCTGTGAAGAGAAAGCGGAGGTTTACCTGTGCTGATGGATTTGCTCTTGGTGGTCTGCATTTTCAAGAGGAGTCGGAGGAACAAAATCAGGTATAGTAAAAGACTTGTCGTCAGGGTGATGACACTGGGATGGTAGCGGGGAAGAACAGCTATCTCTCACTTCCTCTCCTAAGAGAGAAACCCAGAGTTAGACACAGTCCACCGAATCCCACAGTTAACCTTCTAAGTGGCTTAGATCCCCTCTCACTGGACACTGCCACGGTGTTAGTTCCCTGTCCCACCCCGGAGGAAGGATGGAGCTGGGCAGGAAGGCGAAGCTGGGAATTTTCACAGTGTAAATTCCCTGCCCCACCCTAAGGAAGGGTGTGGCTGGGCAGGGAGGTGAAGCAAACACAGGCACTGGGGAAAAGGACGGAGCTGCTGTAGAAGAAGCAGAGAGAGATGGAGGAAGAAGACTGGGGAGGCACGTGGAGCGGAAAGATGCGTGAAGGAGAAGCCCTGCTTGCTTCTCGGCCTTGGACTTGTTTCAGGGACTTGGGGGACATAGAAGGACACACTTGAAACAGATGCGGTGAGAGACCCATGGGGAGGTTGACAGGGGCAGCCTTTACCTTGATTTTGCTCTTTTCCTTCCAGATTTGCCTGGCCCCTTCTGCCCCTTTCTTATGCGTTGCCACCAGAAGGTGCCTTAGAATTATGGCAGGCTTTTGGCCTCAGCTGTCCTGCTTGGGGCCAAGCCTGTTTGCCTGGACGTTTGCGCACAAGGGGATGGGTAACTTTGGGTGTTTGATTTGGAAACTTTTTTTCTTTTTCTTCTATTACACACTAATCGTATTAAAGTTCTTTTCTATCGAAGGTCTTATGCATTAAAAGTATGTTTTGTCTTCATGGGGCAGATGGCAGAACCTACTTAGAGTAGGCAGGTTTGGGGGTCCTGCAGTGTCCCTCTCTCTGCCCTGTAACACACTGACCCCTCCCACTTCTTACTGCTGGAATATAGCTTCATTGTTTTTGCTTAAGATGCACATGCTGTCTGTAACGGGAAAAGAGAAGACAAGACTTTCATGCGTGTGTTATATCAGACTCTGTCCCTGGAAATTATAGCACACGCAGCTCGGAGCATCCCTGTTAGTGACATGCCTGAGTGTTCTGTGCTTCCCTGCTCCTTGGAGTTGCGGTCTCTAAATCTGGTAAGGCCCTGGGAGCAGGGTCCACTCTGTCCATATGAAAAATGAAGAACTAGAGGCCCAGAGAGGTTAGTGTATATCTCTCAGGAAGCACAATTACAAGTGAAATTCTTGGGCATGTTCAGCTCTGGAAAGAAGAGCTTGGGAGTGAGTTAAGAGACTGGCGTGCTAGTTCCCACTCTGCCTCTACTTACCTGTGTGACCAAGGGCAAGTCATTCCTAACAAAGGGAAGGTTCCCACTCAGTGGCTGTCTTGGTTTTTTCCCGGTTTTACATTTTCTATAGCATTATTTGCGATTACTTGTGATTGGAATGAAACCTGGCCAGTTTTTCAGGAAAATAAAAATAGCAATATGATGTATAGAGGTTCCCCCCCACCCCCCATCAAATATATAGGTGAGAGCTTTCATAGAATTAACAGAAAGGACACTTTTCTTATTTGGCAACGCTAAGTGTTGCTGCCACCTAGTGAGAAGAAGGAATATGGCTTCATGCAAGGGCTGGGCCTTCTGTGGCCACCTAGGGGAAAATACCAGAAATCACCCAATCCAACAGATAACTTAGGATTTCACTCATACATTAAAATTTACAATGTTTCTGCAAGCCAATCTCTTTCCCTTTGATTAAAATGAAGCTGGAAGACGAGCTTCTCTGGGCAGTATTATTAAGTCGACATGATTGGTCTTTGGCCTCCTCCAAATGTGTATACACTGTGTCCTTTCCTGCTCTCTTCTTGCCAGCCAAGAAGGAGACCCTGGAAGGTCTGAGCAGGAAGGTAACATTCTCAGAAGATTTCCAGGGCAACCTATGTCATAGTGTTGACCTAAAAATTTAGGAGGCCATTCAAGAGGCCATTATTTGGAAACAAAGACCTGCAGTGCAGGGTGCACAGATTCAGGCATAAAACCCAAATGTATCCCAAGGGAGGGACAGAAAGCTGTTCCTTTTTAGTAGGAAAAGGGTGCCATTATCAAGGAAGAGGTGATGGAGGATGAGATAATGGTCAGGTGAGGGAGTCACAAGGACCAATGGTCCTGTGGATTGTCACAAAGAAAAGGAGATAAAAGTTGACTGTTACTAGTCCTTTCAACTGGATGTTCTTTCTTGCTGGCTTCTTGGGATGTTGGGTGTTAGGCTCAGTTGGGTGGGGGGTGTTAGACCATTTAAAGGGGCCATTTGTCTATATCGGCCACCCTGACCCCAATTTAAACTGGCTCCACTTAGAGCAACTTTTCACAATTGTACAGAAGCGAGTTTGTAGGGGGTCACACAGGTAGTAGGTCCATCAAACTAGGTGGTTTGATATTTGCAAAATCACTGGCTGGGAGCAAGATTAAGAGATCTTGTCCATGATACATATTTATTTATTTATTTTTAAACATATTATTTTTTTATAGAGGCATGTTTTTATTTATTTATTTGTTTGTTTTTGTTTTTGTTTATACATGCACTGGGTACAGTCAGAAGCGCGGGAGGGTGAGAGAATTCACCAGAGCCAGAGCGGGGAGCAGAGCAGGCAGAAGGACCGAAGCACACTGCTGAGGGGAGCAGCGGGCGGCAGGGCAGGAGAGGTCGCGTGCCATGTGGGACCCTCCTCTGGTGGCCGGGGAGCAGCCGGGGATCAAACCGGCGCCGCAGAGGCCGCGGGCAGCTTCGCAACCCAGCGCTCAACCGCTGCACCACCGGGGAGGCCCCATGATACATATTTAAAGAGAACCGACTAAGTGGCCTGGATTGGGTGGTCAGGTGGGAAACCTGGAGGAACCTAGGGGAGTTGAGGGGAGCTTTAAACTTAATGCTTTAAAGCTGGCGGGCCGCTGGGTGTCAAGGCCCTAGGGTAGGAAATCTCAATGTTCCCAAGATTCCCACCTTTGGAGCAGTGCTCAGGGCTCCAGATCATGGGTGGAAACCTCTTCCTCTGCTATCAGGAAAGAATATCAGAATTGTTAACAAAGTTTATTGTGACATAATTTGCATCTGCTAGAATATATGTGAACAAATTAAAATTTTTACTACCCTGGTAATAAATCAATTGCAACAAACTCACAACTGCTAGTTCAGGTGACCTATTAATGATTTTTGCACGGTGACCAACCTTATTATTAGGACGACAATGATGATAGCGGCCATTATCTAGAGAGTCCCTTGAGTCAGGGCTTTGGGTTCATGATCTCAGAGGATCTGACAAAGGCCCAGTGAGGTAAAAATGTTGTAAACTGAGTCTGAGAGCAGTTTACTCAGAGGCCCCGAACTCCCCGAGAGCTAATACCTCTCAGTAAGCACCACAGGTGTTCCCTGTAGCTAGTGGACATTTACAGCTCTATTTCTAGGGAAAGGTTCCTCCTTGCCACTCGCACACTCCACTGTAAATTAATTTGGGACATTCTGGTGATAAGTTTCTCCTCCGGGAACTGATCTACCAGCCAGTGGCCTGTAGGGGGAGAGATTACCTCGGGGAAAACATTTTTCCCTCGTTTACAGTGAATTGTTTCCTGGGCTGGTGTAAAGGGCTGTAGGAGGACAGGTGACTGATTAAGGGGAAGAATTTTGGGTTATCTGTTGTTTCAGCTTCTCTCTGTTAACGTGGATAATTAAGAATTAACTGTAGGTAAGCGATTCAAACCTCCTTCCCTTGCACACAAAATTCCCTTAAATAATATGTAAGTATACACAGAATTATTCACCAAAAGGGATGGATTTCCTTCCAGTGTTGGTTGTCAAATATGCCCCTCCATTTCTCCCATTAATTTGTCAATTAGGTGAAGCAATTCCTTAAGCAAGAATCTTATCAATCAGTCTATCTAACATTTACTATACATCTATGTAATATGGATGGAATATGCACTGCACTAATTTTATTCTTACTCAAGCCCTCCACACTTTTGAGGTTTTTGTGGTTCCTTGGGTTATATAACATTTTATGCTGCCTTTCTTTATTCTTTTTAAAGGCAAATGATAGCAAGGACATTTAGGAAACATGAACAGGAAATAGTTGAGCATAGCTGAGAAAGCTGTGAAAAAAGGAAGTGAGTCGGGGACTAAGGAAACTTTGTGTTGGGAAGGTCATCAAAAGAGAAAATGCCCACTAAAAAAAAAAAAAAAAAAAGAGGCCCATCACCTGCCCAGATGCCAGGCACTAAGTCTGGATGGTCATCAGAACTTTCAGCCCTTTCCTGAAATAAAGCTGAGGTGCAAGTGGACCACAAGTTGTCTTCAGGCATTGAGAGCAAGTCTCCTATCATTAAATCCCACCATATTGTCTTGCCCAGTTTCAGATCGGCTGAGATGTCTTAGATACTCAATGAATATATAGTGAGTGAAAGTAAATTTTGTAGTAAGTATCCAGTCTTCAAGAATCAAGATTTTTTTTGGGTTGTTAAACAGTCAAAGAAATGAGAAACTCTGGAAACTTCAAGTTAGTGTGCCGGTGGTACCATAAAGAGAGTAAATGTTCTCATCTCCTTTTGTGTGAATCATAACTGTAACAATGTAGCCCGCAGCACATCCGGCTGCTCCTTATGCCACTTATTTCAGTAACTTCGCTGGCGAGCTGCCTACTTTTAATATGCAGTTAACTCTGAAAGAAAATTTTAATCGTATTATTATTTTTTAAAGATTTATTTATGCATACAAGAGCTGGGGTGCAGGTCAGAGGTGTCGGGGCGGGGGTGTGTGTGTGAGAGGATTCACCAGAGACAGAGTGGGGAATAGAACAGGCAGATTCACTGAAATACTTTGCTGAGAGAAGCAGGGGGAGAGACAGGAGAGGTCTGCTGTGCCATGTGGGTCAGCTCCCTGGCTGGGGATTGAACCCAGTCTGCAGCGGGTGGCGATAGCTTGATAGTGCTGCGACTTAACCCCTTGTGCCACCAGGGAGGCCTCTGTATTATTTTTTATGGAGGCAAAATTGTTTTACCACACTATAGGATTTAGGGGCAGAGGCTCACACCTCTTCAGAAGTATGTCAACACACCCACCACC